GGCCGGGTGGGGTGAGACGGACGTGCAGGGCACTCAAGGGCCCGCACCCAGTCAGCACAGGGTGGTGTGGGGCTGCTCGTCCCCACCCTGGAGCACAGCGTCCCCACGGCAGCCTCACCTGGCAGTCCTGGGGGCCCGGGGGCAGACCAGACTCAACAAACGCCTGCAGAGAAAGACAGAGTGCTGGGGGGCCACGGCCACCAGGCCCAGCCCGGAAACTCCGACCACCTCTGACAGGCCCCATGTGTGCCCTCCCCGGACTTGGGGGGCCTGACCCCCCCTCCCCAGACAGACTGGGGGCCTGGTACCCCCTCCCCAGACCAGGGGCCTGGCACGCCGCCCTCCCCAGACTGGGGGGCCTGGCACCCCTTTCCAGAGAGATGGGGGTGGAGGTAGGAGATACAGACCGATGGTCGAGAGTCCTGGGTCATGACACAGTTGCGCTTTCAGGGTCACCCACCTCCCAGGCCTGGTAAAATGGGCGCGCACCCACCCAGCCCCCTCCGGGGCTCAGGCATGTAGGAGTCCTCAATCATTCCGGCCTGAACTGGCTGCAGCCCCGAGGGCTTGCCTGCCCACTGTCCCAGATGCATCCCAGAGGCCCCTGGGGATGGGGGAGAGGAAGGCGGGGCTCCCAAGAGGGGGCATGAAACATGGGTGACTCACGTTGCTGTCATAGACGGGTGTCCCCGGGGGGGCCTGGGGGCCCTGGGGCCCTGGGGGGCCGGGCATTCCCTGCGTGGGGGACAGAGAGCGCTGTGAGTGGGGGCATCGCTGGACATCAGCAGATCACTGAGCCGTTCATTCACAACAGGACCAGAGCACACGGGTCCCCGGCTCCCAGAGGGCACGGCGAGGCTCTCCTGCCCTCAGGTGGGAGCTGAGCACCTGGAGCCCCGAGATGACTGCGCCGGGGCGACAGCGCCCAGTTAAGAGGCCTTAGCGTGGGAAGCATCACGGGGCTGGCGGATTTGCTCATGGGAGGGGCAAACCGCATGAGAAGCCCTGCCCTGAAGGCCGTGAGCCAGGAAGCAGCCTCCACCGAGGCTGAGGAGCCGGAACGGGCCTCCCTCCCACCGCATGTCCGGCCGGCCGGAACGGGCCTCCCGCCCGTCCTGCACCTGGGGGAAGGGTGGGACCTCAGGGGCAGCCAAGAGCAGCCACCCCCCTGGGGCTGTGCGTCTTCTCTTGCTCCACGGCACAGCCTCGGGGAATGCCTGGCCCCACCGCTCACGAGAACAAACGCGGGGCTCACGAAGCAGCAGTCACTGCTGGATTTGACGGGAGCCACCCGTGGAGGGGCATGCCCAGGTCCTCGGGTCCTGGGGGACTGGGGCTCTGTGTGGTGCGCACGTGAGCACGTGTGCACACACAGACGCCAGTGCATACACCTGTGTGCGCGAGGCGTGTTGCACACTGTGTGAAGGCACACACACAAGCATGCAGAGGTGTGTGTGTACTGTGTGCACATAAGCATGCATGTGTACGCACACATGTAGGTGTGTGTGCACCCCCACGTGTGAGTGTGTCAGGACCAGCAGGGCGTGGTCACATGGAAGCAGCCCTGCTCAGATGAGCTGCAGGACCCTGCCCGACCCCATGGGACACTCACCCTCATGCCAAGTCCATGGCTGACGTCCCCCGGCTCCCCCTTCTCTCCTTTCAATCCATTCATCCCGGGGCGGCCCTGGGACACAGCACAGGGGCGGGAGGGGTTGGGGTCCCCAGCGCCTGCCCTTGGCGGCTCCTAACAGCCTGCTCCAGCCCTGCTCGGCTGCTTCCTGCCCGGGAACCCTTTTGGGGAGGGGACTGGCCCCATAGCTCCTGTCCCCACCCAGCCTCCTCTGGGTACGGCCCCTCCTGTCTGGAAGGCCCAGAATGTCCTTCTGCCACACGGGGAAGAGAGCTGCCCTGCCCTGGGCCCCCTCTACCCACCAGGCCCCGCCAGACACCCCCGTCATCACCGGCCGCCCAGGGAAGCCGATCTCGCCCTTGTGCCCAGGACGTCCGTACGGGCCCTGCAGGGAGGGAGAGCCTGGGGGTGAGCAGAGGCCGTGGGGGCCCCCGCCCTGCCCCGCTGAGTCTGGGTGGGGGTCCGAAGCCACACAGGGAGAAGCCCCCGTGCTGCTGGCCCCACAGCCAGCCCCACATGTGTCCAAGGCGACCACAGCACCCGGTGCACAAAGGAAGTGTGTCCCACTCACCGGGGGTCCTCGGAAGCCCGGCTCGCCCTGAATGGGAAACAAGAGGCAGGGTCAGGCAGCCGCAGCCCAGCCCCCACCGGCTGCCACCCCAGGGGCCTTGCACCCCAGGGGAGGCAGGACACGCCTGCAGGGGAAGGTTCTGGGCCCGGGATGAGTCTAGGTGAGTGCACAGATGGGCCAGCCGGGGCCCTGCCCTGTGACATCCTGGCTGGGCTACCCCGGGCCCTCTCAGATGTAAAGAAGCCGGGGTGGGGAAGGCACAGCCCCCTGGGCCCCTCCCCCAGCCCACACTCACCCACCTGGAGGCTCTGGCTCCCCGGGGGCTGCCGCCAGCAGGGTGGCTGCAGCTGGCACCCGGTGGCCCCTTCTCGCACAGGAGGGCCCAGCGCGGGCAGGGGAGCTGGTGCAGGCGTGGGGCCCCAGTCCCTCTGCCTCCCAGCGTGGGCTCTGGGGGTAGTGGCTCACAGGGTGCGGCTACCAGAGGTGGGCAGAGAAGGGCGATAGAACCCAGGCTGCATGTAGAAGGTTCCAGAACCCACTCGGGAGAGGAACTAGGCCCATCTCCAAGGCTCCCAGACTCCCCACGCCCCGGCGGACAAGGGGCTGCGGCCCTCACCTTGGCTCCTTTCTGGGCGGGGGCCAGAGCTCGGCCATCAGGGCTGACGATGCTGCCGGGTTCCCCCTTCTCACCCTGGAATGGCAGGGTGGGGGTCCCAGCGGGGGTCATGCATCAGATGCCCCTCCCACGAAGGGCCCCCCACAGGACCCTGGAGACAGAAATGGGGGTCCTTGCCCCTCCCAAGGGGCCCCTGTGACCAGGGCCTCGAGGCTGGGTCCTGGTGAAGACAGGCACAGGCCCGGTGGGACGGTCACCTGCTCCGGTCACGGCTCCGTGCGAGTGACAGGTCCGGGGGCCAGGACAGATGGGGACTGGTGTGCCTCGGGTCCCCTGGGGTTTCAGCTGCGCGTGCAGCGGGGAGGCTGTGAGCCCGCCCGCCCAGCACTCACCTTGGGTCCCGGGAGGCCTTGCTCGCCTTTGGAGCCCAGGTCACCTTTCGGCCCAGCAGGTCCCTGCAGTGGAGACCAGGTAGGCTGAGGGGCCTGGTGATCGCACACCCTCCTTGGGGTGCTTCCTGGTAACACCCTGGCCTACAGGTCTTGACCAGTCGCAGCGCAGGGCTGCGCCCCACGGGAGACCCCAGCTGGACTCCCAGCTTCTGCTGAGCCCGGGGCGCCCAGCAACGTCCCGCCGTCAAGCCCTGCACAGCTTCACGTGGCTGCCCTGTGGGGACAGAGACCTCTCCCAGCCACCCCACTGCTCGGAGCGCAGCTACTTACAGGGAAGCCTGCAAAGCCTGGGCGGCCCTGTGAAAGAGGGACGGCGTCGTCAGTCTGGGGCCGCTGGGCCCTCGGGGAGCACCAGGCACTGCCCAGCCGCCCGACCCCGGGTGTCTCGGGAGCAGGGGCACGCACCTCCGGTCCCGGCCCGCTCACCACTGCTCCCTAACGGCAGGAAAAAACACAGCAGAAAGGAAGAGAAAATCAAGTTTAAAACCGACCCAAGTCCTGCTGCCTGACATCCACAAAGCAGTGGCCAGGGGAGGTCCCAGCAGGTGGCGGCGGAGCCACTTCCTGAGGGCCACGAGCTCAGGACACCACGCAGTGTCCCCAAGAGGTGGCGTGTGGTAGCCTCTTGGGATGAAGCCAGCAGTCAGGCTGCCCGTGCCCCCGGGGGCTGCGTGGTCGAGGGACGCCCCCGCCTCGGTGCCCAGCCCATGCCCTTACATCTTGCTGCGACACGTAGACCACAGGCCCCGGGGGTCCAGGGGGCCCGGGCAGGCCGGGCTGCCCCACTCCGTCCTTCCCTGGGTCTCCCTGGAAGACAAGGCACTTGGTCACCGCTGCTCTGGCCCAGCCCCAGAGCCCGCAGTGGGGAGGCCGCTACGGCACCCAGCAGACCCTCGCTCCCATCAGGGACCACCCCCTCATGCTGCACCCTAGCCTGGAGCCGCCGCTGGTCTCGGTGCCAGGCTCTGAGTGGTGGTGGGTGGTGGCGGGTGGCAGGCAGGGTGTGGACCCGAGGGGAGCACCCTGAGGCCTAGCCACGCAGGGACGTCCCATCCAGTCACCCCCAGGATGTTCACACTCCCTCCAACGCTCCCCGAACTCACCCCTCTCCAGCCGCCTCTCCCCCCCATCCTCCTCCCCTCCCCCTACTCTCTCCCCAGCCCCCTCCCCTCCAGCCCCCCTTCCTCTCCCCCTACAATCTCCCTCCAGACCCCAACTCCCCTCTAGCCCCCTACTCTCCCCTCTAGCCCCCACTCCCCCCAGGCCCCCACACTCTCTCCCCGTCTCTGCCCCCAGCCCCCCTCCCCCAGCCCCCCACTCACTTTTTCTCCTTGACTCCCCTTTTCTCCTTTGGGTCCCTGCAGACAGAAGTGGTTTGTCAGAAATGGAGACGGAGCCCCCTCCTGGGAGACCCCAGACCCAGGGACGGCTTTGAAAGGAAAAGTGGAGGTGGGCGGGGAAGGGATGGCGTGGGGAGGCGGCCACTGGGGTCCCTGGCCTGACTCCAGTTCCGCTCCCTGGGCGGGCACAGGCTCGGGAGACCCCAGGTTCCTCCTCATGTGGTCCTTCCGGGGTCTCAGGCCTCACTGCAGCCGCTCACCGGGGGCCCAGCAGCACCCTCTCTCCCAGGAAGGCCTGGGAAGCCGGGGGCTCCGTCAGCTCCAACTTCTCCCTGGAACAGACACAGGAACCCGCGTCAGCGGCGTGGCCCCAGGAAGCAGCCCTGGTGTCCACGGTCGTGACCACGGCCCAGGTTTCTGCTGGTCCCTGGCTCAGCCTGCTGGGGCCTGTGGGCAGGTGACGGACGGGGAGAGGTGGGAGAGGGGCCAGAGGTGGCCTGGGCAGCCAGGTGCACCCGAGTGATTCACTCAGGACTCAGCAGGCCTGGGGGAGCTGGGGGCGCTCTGGGAATCACCCGACACAGGCAGGTCGAGAAAAGAGTGAGGATGTGATGGATCCCACCCAGAGCGGGTGGACCTGACCCTCTGTGCCCAGGGCCGGCCCCTGGGGCCCACTGGCGTCCCCTTTATGGGGGACCCTTTATGGGGGCTCGGAGGGGCTTCGGCCTGTGCTGGGGCCCTGTCTGCCCCTCCCCCAGGATCCCATGTCCCAAGCCTGACACAGGTGCTTACCTTGGCTCCAGGTGTCCCAGCCGTTCCAGGGTCCCCCTAGATGGATGGAGACTGTGAGGAGCGTGGCGTGGCCTGAGCAGAGGTGCTGGGGTCTGGGGTGTGACCGCTGAGACAGGTGCTGCTCTGAGAAGCCGGCACTTCAGCCATCTCCCAGCTGCCAAGCACCCTCTGAGACCTCGGCTTTCGACACCCCCGAGGGGTCTGTGCCGCCCCAGGGGCCGCTGGAGACACTGCCTGGACCAGAGTCAGACCCGCGGGCCAGAGGCCCGAGCTCGCGCCCAGTGGCAGAGTCCTGGGTGGTCCTCCCGCCCTGGTCCACTTGCCTGGGGGGGTGGCATGGGCCACAGAGAGCTCGGGGTGCATCCCCTGCCTAGAGCCCATGATTCACGCTGGAAGAGGGGGCGCAGCCCCACCCCCAGCTAAGGGCTAGGTGTGGTCCTCCCACCATGCTTTGATTTCACACAACTCCCAGGATGCACTGTGCTACTCCCTTGCTCAAAAACCAAGGAGACCGGGCGTCTCGCTCACTGACCTTGAGTCCTGGGGGTCCAGGTGGTCCCTGCCAGACAGAGGAACGAGGTGTTAGCGCAACCAGCCCCGCTGGAAGGCACTGTATCCCACGAGAAAATCAGCCCTCCGCGGAGTCACAGCCCCACTGGGCACAGGAGGAAACCCAGGTTTCCCCGAGGGAGCCAGCGCAGCCTGGAATTCCACAAGCAGGGTACGGGGTCCGTCCGCGGAGTCGCCCACGAGCCCGACCCAAACACAGGACGTGCACCTCACTGGACACCCAAGGCCGCTGCAACGGCGGGTGTGCTGCTGGGTGCCCCCAGGGTGATGTGGCTGATCCACGGGTGATGTGGCTGATCCACGGGCGCTGCCCTTGGTGCTGGTGTGGGGTTCCGGCCCAGATCGTCCCACCCTGGTCCAGGGGCCTCGTTCTTTGCCCACCTCAGTGCTGGCTGCAGCAGGTTTGGTGCAGAGGTGGAGAAAGCGCTGGGCCAGGTGTGAGACCCCCTGGCTGGCTACGGCTTGTATCAGCGTTCAAGTTCTCCAAGCAAGGAAGCCACCCGATCCCACACCCTCAGCAGCTGAGTCGCTGACGGGACCAGGATGCTGGGGTTCAAAGCTGTGGGTGTGTGCTCCCACGTGCCCCTGGAGCTGGCCGCACACATGCCGTGTCCAAGCACGGGCCACGCTGACATCTGCTCTCCCGCAGGGCCTCGCTGCCAGCAGGACAGATGGGAGCTCCACCACCCATGCCCGCTCCGCCACGCCTCTGCCCAAACACCAGGGTCCCCAAAAGCCTCACGAAGACAGAATGAAGACGAGCGCCTTCCACAAACCTGTCAGGCCGCGCATGTGCTGCGTCTGCACACAGAGCCACAGGACACACTGATGGTGCAGGGCCCCTGACCCTGCCGCCACGGTGCCCCCACTTCAGAGACCAGGTTGACCTCCTGGGACGTCCTAACAGTCACAGGCCCCCCTCTGCCCAGGCCCTGGGCGTACGTACCTGCAGCCTTTCAGTGCCTCGGGCCGTCGGCCAAAAGGGTCCCCCCGAGCCTTCCATGTCCTCCTGGGGGAGACAGACGAGGGGCACTTGGCCTGCGCTCCTCCCCGAGGGAAGCAGCTGCCCTATGCAGGCTGAGGCTGGGACCCCGGCCTGCGGACACCCATCCTGCCACTCCGTACTGCTCGTGGTCTGAGCACGAGCTGGGGTGCGGCTCACCAGGTCCCCCCGCCCCCCAGCAGCCTTGCCGTCATGTACGTGGTGGGGATGGCCCAGGCGTGTGGTCTCGGGAGCATCCCTGGGCAGCGGGGTGTAGGCCCACGTCCAGCTCCAGGCCAGCCTGTCCTGCACCCACAGCAGGGCTGGTACCCATGTGCCCTCTGGTGGGACGCCGGGGTGGGGAGGCAGCACGGGGCGGCAGACCAGGCTTTCTGGGGTCTGGGGGGTGGGGAGGAGACTCACAAATCCAGCAGCAAGTCCTGGTCCTGGTGGCCCGGGGGGGCCCGGGGGCCCGGGAGGTCCTTGGGGTCCAGCTGGCCCAGGGGCTCCTGCTACGCCACTCTCGCCGGGGAAGCCCACGGGGCCAGGGTCCCCCTTGCTTCCCTGCATGGGAGGAGAGAGGAGGTCATAACTGCCCTCAGGCTCCGGCTGCCCAGCTGGCCATGCACCGGATGCAGCCACGGCCGTGTTCTCAGGACGCCTCTGAAAATCCAAGGCCCAAGCACTGAACGGCCTGCAGAGCTGAGGCTGCATGGGGCTCGCTCTCCACCACGAAGCCCTGACCACCACACGGGGGCCACAGAGGCGCGAGCCTGTGCGGGGGTCCGGGGGATGCGTGCACCACACCAGCATGCTGCACAACACGCCGCGTTACCTCCGGCCAAGGCCCCGGCCGGCGCGCACCGGGCAGCCAGGAGCAGGTGGAGCAGGTGAGGAAGGGCGGGCAGCTGGAAGGGGTGAGGCAGGGAGGAGAGAGGAGAGGCAGCTGAGGGCGGCTCTGGCCACCGCCTGAGTGGGTGGGTTTGGTGGACGCTCAGAGCGTGAGCGAAGCAGGGGCCAGGGCGCCCGGTGTGGGAAGCAGGGCGGGGGCTCAGGGGCTTGGGGTGTGAGCAGGGAGGGGGATGGGGGACTTGGGGCATGACAGGAAGGCCCGGCCCGAGGGCTTGGCTACGCACGGGGTCAGCCCCAGGGGTCAGCTGCTGGCTCGGCCCAGTTTCCCTCACCCCAGGCCACTCAACCTCCCCAGCCCTGGCCCCTCCTCTGCCAACGATACCCACAGTCCTCTGCTGGTCTTGGGAGACAGTGGAAGGCAGAAGTGGGGGACACCCCGAGTGTGACCTGCTGACCCACCACTCCCTGTAGGCCAAGATCTCAGACCCTCACCAGGGTTGCCGCGGCCCCTACCTCCTTCCTGCTCCCAGCCTCCAGGGACCACTTCCTGTCATGTTAACCCACTTACTGTGTGAACCCCACTCACTGTGCATTAACTCCACTGTGGACCCCAATATGTGTGAACCCCGTGTGTGACCCCCACTCTGAACCCTGTGTGTGAACCCCACTCACCGGTATTAACTCCACTGTGGACCCCACATGAACCCCACTGGAAGTCTTGTCTTTTGCACAGTGAACATTCTGAACGTTAGACCTACTTTAAACAAGGTCTAATTTTATCGGGACCCTATGTTTCACTCTCTGGGTTTTAAACTCCGTGTCTCACACCTTTGTGTCATGTTTATCTTGGTATTTTGCACAGCTCTCTCTTATTAAAAATTCACCTATTTTTGACCTTTAAAAAGCTTATAAAGGAATGTGCATCTTTCTAACCCATCCTTCCCCATTTTTCACTCAGTTTCTGACTCCGCTTTGGGGTCTGGGATCCCCCTCATGGCACGTGGGGTCGACCTGTCTTCCGTGGGCATCAGCATCTCCAGATACGGAAGCCACTGCTCAGGCCTACACCACGTGCCACCCTCGTCTCCCACCTCCTCCCCCACACCGTGTCCCACCCTCGTCTCCCACCTCCTCCCCCACACCATGTCCCACCCTCGTCTCCCACCTCCTCCCCCACACCGTGTCCCACCCTCGTCTCCCACCACCTCCTCCCCCACACCGTGTCCCACCCTCGTCTCCCACCTCCTCCCCCACACCACGTGCCACCCTCGTCTCCCACCTCCTCCCCCACACCGTGTCCCACCCTCATCTCCCACCTGCTCCCCCACACCGTGTGCCACCCTCGTCTCCCACCTCCTCCCCCACACCGTGTCCCACCCTTCTCCCACCTCCTCCTCCCCCCACACCGTGTCCCACCCTCATCTCCCACCTCCTCCCCCCACACCGTGTCCCACCCTCGTCTCCCACCTCCTCCCCCACACCGTGTCCCACCCTCATCTCCCACCTGCTCCCCCACACCGTGTGCCACCCTCATCTCCCACCTCCTCCCCCACACCGTGTCCCACCCTCGTCTCCCACCTCCTCCCCCACACCGTGTCCCACCCTCGTCTCCCACCTCCTCCCCCACACCGTGTGCCACCCTCATCTCCCACCTCCTCCCCCACACCGTGTCCCACCCTTCCTCCCACCTCCTCCTCCCCCCACCCGTGTCCCACCCTCATCTCCCAACTCCTCCCCCACACCGTGTCCCACCCTCGTCTCCCACCTCCTCCCCCACACCGTGTCCCACCCTCGTCTCCCACCTCCTCCCCCACACCGTGTCCCACCCTCATCTCCCACCTCCTCCCCCACACCGTGTCCCACCCTCGTCTCCCACCTCCTCCCCCACACCGTGTCCCACCCTCGTCTCCCACTCTCCACTCCCCCCACACCGTGTCCCACCCTCGTCTCCCACCTCCTCCCCCACACCGTGTCCCACCCTCAGTCTCCACACCTCCTCCCCCCACACCGTGTCCCACCCTCGTCTCCCACCTCCTCCCCCACACCGTGTCCCACCCCGTCTCCACCTCCTCCCCCACACCGTGTCCCACCCTCATCTCCCACCTCCTCCCCCCCAACCGTTGTCCCACCCTCGTCTCCCACCTCCTACCCCCACACCGTGTCCCACCCTCGTCTCCCACCTCCTCCCCCACACCGTGTCCCCACCCTCGTCTCCCACCCTCCTCCCCCACACCGTGTACCCACCCTCAGTCTCCCACCTCCTCCCCCACACCCGTGTCCAACCCTCGTCTCCCACCTCCTCCCCCACACCGTGTCCCACCCTCGTCTCCCACCCTCCTCCCCCACACCGTGTCCCACCCTCGTCTCCCACCTCCTCCCCCACACCGTGTCCCACCCTCGTCTCCCACCTCCTCCCCCACACCGTGTCCCACCCTCATCTCCCACCTTCCTCCCCCCACACCGTGTCCCACCCTCGTCTCCACCACCTCCTCCCCCACACCGTGTCCCACCCTCGTCTCCCACCTCCTCCCCCACACCGTGTCCCACCCTCGTCTCCCACCTCCTCCCCCACACCGTGTCCCACCCTCATCTCCCACCTCCTCCCCCCACACCGTGTCCCACCCTCGTCTCCCACCACCTCCTCCCCCACACCGTGTCCCACCCTCGTCCTCCCACCTCCTCCCCCAACCGTGTCCCACCCTCGTCTCCCACCTCCTCCCCCACACCGTGTCCCACCCTCATCTCCACCTCCTCCCCCACCACCGTGTCCCACCCTCGTCTCCCACCTCCTCCCCCACACCGTGTCCCACCCTCGTCTCCCACCTCCTCCCCACACCGTGTCCCACCCTCGTCTCCCACCTCCTCCCCCACACCGTGTCCCACCCTCGTCTCCCACCCTCCTCCCCCACACCGTGTCCCACCCTCGTCTCCCACCTCCTCCCCCACACCGTGTGCCACCCTCATCTTCCACACCTCGTCACCTCCCACTCTTGGCTTTCTGTTGCCTTTCAAACCCCTCAAGACACTTCCCTTAGGTATCCTGGAACGTGCGTGTGTGTGTGTGTGCACATGTGTGTCCACACACGTGTTCGTGTGCATGCATGTACTTGTGTACATCTGCGTGTGTGTGTGCCTGCATGTGTATTTACCTTAAACCCATCTTTTAAGGAAAAAAGCCCAGAAAGCTCCAGCACCCCCCCTTTTCTTCCAGTCCTGAACTCCTCGGCCACCTCTTGTAACCCCTGGCATCCCCCTCCCCCGAAGCCCCCAGGCCCGAGTCTGCAGACTCACTGGGGAAGGTTCCAGCTGCCCACCCAGCCCTGCCCGAGGAGGGGAGGCCCGTGTCCTGGACGTAACCCAGGTGGGCCGTCCCCCTGGCAGGGGCTGGGACCCTGGGGTGGCTCTCAGGACCATCTGTGCTTGGGAATCTGCCAGGGCACACGGGGAGGCAGCCCCTTCCCCCTTCCCAGGGCCTCATCCCCTGAGCCCCTCCCACTAAGCAGGCCCAGGAGGAGCTGAGTGCGGGGCTCCTAGCAGGACCGTGACCCCAGAGGTCAGGCCAGGCCGCAGCCCCGACCCCATGCTTCCCCAAGAGGACCTGGGCCCATCGGGGACAGGGGCCTGCGCCTGGAGCTTCCTGCTGGGCGGCCTGCAGCCCAGGGCCCTGAGGATGCTGGGAGCCCAGCTCAGGACCACCCTGGGCCCAGGCAGCCTGGCTCCCTCCTGTGCTGGGACAAACGGGGTGGGGTCCCGGTCAGCGCTGGGAGCAGGGCTGGCTGACCGCGGGGCCGCGCTCCTGCCTGGGGCATGTCCACCAAGCAGGAGCGCCTACCCCGGGAGGACTTGAGAGCAGCAGGAGGCCTTGGTTCGTACCTTGGGTCCTGGGGCGCCCACGTCACCCTGTGGGGAGAGGGAGGGTCGCGGTGAGGTCAGGACCCAGCCAGGCTGCCGGGGCCCCCACACTGGCCTCTTCAGAGCACCCCAAGATGGGACCAAAATCAGACTCGAAATCGCTTTCCAAGTCACGGCGGAGACCCCACCCAGGGCTCTGAACTCCCCCAGGCCCCACGGCCGCCCTCAGCCCAGCCTCGCGCCAGCATGGCTCCAGCTTCCGGCCCCGGCGTGGGCAGTGACTTACGGGGCTGCCTTTCTGTCCCGCCGGTCCTGGCTGCCCGTCTTTTCCTGGGGTGCCTGGGGGGCCCTGCAGGGAAATGCAGATGGTGGGTCCCTCACTCCTGTGTGCTCTGTGGCTCATTGCCTGGCCTCTCAGACTCCCGAGAAAGCTGGACACGGAATGGCCCACGGCAGACCCCGCCCACGGGAGACCCCGCCCACGGGAGACCCTGCCCACGCTGTCCAAAAACGAGCCCAGCTCCGGTCTTCCACTTCCCTCTCCTTGGTTTCTCTTTTGCTTTTTGGGTTTTTTGTTGTCAGTCAAATGGGGGTGGAGGGGCCGCAAGACCCCTGCCATGGGTGGGCGGCCACAGGCTCCCTCAGGGTCTCCTGACCTCACTCTGAGAGGCAGCCTGGTACCGCGCTCTCTGTCCCGAGGAGCTGCCGCAGGGCTGGGCTGCACTGCACACACGTGTGCAGGCCCCAGGGCTGAGCCCACGTTTGTGGGTGGTTCACGGATCGTGGGCCGTCCCTGACGTGGGCACGCACCCCCAGGGAGGCAGCTGTGTTTCCCTCAATCATACGCCCACGGCCCGCGGTGGAGGGAGAGGCCAGGCCATCGGAGCTGGCTCACGGGACCCAGCCACGACAGGGACATCCGGTGCCGGAGGGAGGCTCCTTGTGGAGGGCGAGTCGGCCACGCGGGCTCCTCCTGCCCACCGTGAGGACCGCTCACCCCAGAAGCACGGCTGCCCCTCAGGCTCGCCCCCCAGACTCAGGGGGGGCAGGGCGGTGTGGGGGAGAGGCCCCTGCCCAGTGGGGGAGACAGCACTCACCTGGGGGCCGGGAACGCCGGGGGGCCCATCCCGCCCAGGCACTCCAGGGAGACCGGCAGGCCCTGGCGCGTGCGAGCTGTTCAGGCCGAAGCGGCCCGGCTCACCCGGCAGGCCTGGGACACCCGGGGGGCCGGGGGGCCCGGGGAAGCCACGCGGGCCCTGGACATGGGGAGACACAGATGGTCACAGCATGCACAGGCCTTCCCCGCTCAACCCCAGCCCCACCGGGTCCCTGCTGAGGTCTCATGCTGGGGGGCCTTGGGGATGTGGGGCAGCGCCCACCCTGCCGACACTCACTCTGAGGGTCTCTGGGTCACCCCCGAAGCCGGATCCCTCCATGTCGATGAAGGTCTGAAGGGCAGGTGGAGGCCTGAGGCGGAGACAGAGGCCAGGCCTCTCCCAGCCCCGCCCCAGCCCCGCCCCCTGGCCCTGCCCCAGCCACGCCCCCAGCCCGCCCCCGCCACGCCCCAGCCCGGCCCCGCCCCCTGAGGTGTTCACTGCAGGAGCAGAGCCTCTGCCAGCCCCCAGAGCTCCCAGGCACAGCGGGGGAGGCTCCCATCCCCCCAGGCCCTCAAGGACAGGGCTGGTCCTCCTCTCTGGGGGGGGGGTTGCTCCTGGGACCCCAGGACCTCCTGGAGGCGGCCAAGGTAGGACTCACCAGCTTGTCGTGTCTGAAGGGGGGTCCTGGTGGCCCCGGAGGCCCCTGAGGCCCTGGGGGTCCTCTTGGCCCGACCCCAGGGTCCCCCTGGAATACAAGACACGCCTGTCACTCAGAGGGCGCACAGCCCCATGGCACACTCCGGTGGCACCACACGGACGCCCACACTCACCTTCTCACCCTTGGGGCCCACGTCTCCTGGGGTCCCGGGGAAGCCTTGGGGCCCAGCTTCACCCTGGAAGACAAGGACAGAAGCTGTCGGGGCCAAGCACGGGTCCCACGCAGGCGGCGCAGAGATGGAGCCGGGCCCACCAGGGAGGCCCAGGCAACCGGGAGAGCACCGCAGGACCCTGCAGCAGAGCCAGGTGGGAGGAGACCCCTCCCCACTGCAGAGGCACCCACCGCTCTGTGTGGCACGCCCATTGCAACAGGAGGCCCAAGCAAACCAATGCCAGCCCCGCAGGAGAGCGGCTGTCTGGTCTATTCCATGTGTGGTGTGTGCGTGTGCTGTGCTACTGTGGACAGAGGGTGCCCACGTGGCTGCCACTGGGGTAAAGGGAGGCGGCCCTGAACACGGCCTGCGCTGTTTTGCAGGGGTCACGCGTGTGAGTGTGAGCACTCCGTGTGGGGCTGCACCACGCGTTTGTGTGTTGTTGCCACAGGAGAGAAACTGCGTGGACGGCAAACAAGTTTGCTCCAGGATAAACGTACCTCTGAAGCCCCTTTCCACGCACGCCCCTCCCCCATCACAAGGACCCTCTCTGCCCTCCAGCCCCCCCCCCCCCCGGGAGACTCCAGCTCGGGGGAGGGCACACTTACGGGTTTTCCATCTTCACCAGGGTCGCCCTGAGAAGTGCAAGACACAGAGCCTTCAGTCCCTGGAATTACACCACCCTGCCCCCGCCCTGCACCTGAATGGCGGAGCGACCCCTCCTGCACAGCCCCAGGACAGCACCCCTCCTGCACAGCCGGGACCCCCAGGACAGCACCCCCTCCTGCACAGCCCCAGGACAGCGCCCCTCCTGCACAGCCCCAGGACAGCACCCCTCCTGCACAGCCCCAGGACAGCACCCCTCCTGCACAGCCCCAGGACAGCGCCCCCTCCTGCACAGCCCCAGGACAGCACCCCTCCTGCACAGCCCCAGGACAGCACCCCCTCCTGCATAGCCCCAGGACAGCGCCCCTCCTGCACAGCCAGGACCCCCAGGACAGCAACCCCTCCTGCACAGCCCCAGGACAGCACCCCTCCTGCAAGCCCCAGGACAGCATCCCCTCCTGCACAGCCCCAGGACAGCGCCCCTCCTGCACAGCCAGGACCCCCAGGACAGCACCCCCTCCTGCACAGCCAGGACCCCCAGGACAGCGCCCCCTCCTGCACAGCCCCAGGACAGCGCCCCCTCCTGCACAGCCCCAGGACAGTGCCCCCTCCTGCACAGCCCCAGGACAGCACCCCCTCCTGCACAGCTGGGACCCCCCAGGACAGCACCCCCTCCTGCAAGCCCCCAGTACAGTACAGGCCCTGGTTTTCCACATCCACACCCACCCCAGCCAGGCCCCCAGGCCAGGGGCAGGGGTACTCACCGGCTCACCGTCCCTTCCTGGGGCACCATCCTTCCCTGGCGGACCTGGAGGCCCAGGCGGCCCCTGTGCCCCCGGAACTGGCAGTGCCTCCGGTCCCTGAACCGCTGGGCCTGCGGGACCCTGAGGCCCGGCTGGGCCAGGCAGGCCCCGGGCTCCCGGCTCCCCCTTCTGCCCCTTCTGGCCTCCCTAGAGACGAAGGACAGAAGGCAAGGCTGGGGCCCCATCCCCGGTCACTCAGCGGGGAGAACGGGCAGCGGGCAGTGCAGGGCCCTCCGTGGGGAATGCGGTGCCGGGCAGAGCTCTGCGTGCTGGGAGCAGGGGCGGGGCACGAAGAAGGAGGCCTAAGCTGGTGGGGGTCACGGTGAGTGGAGGACAAGCCCTGAGGGCTCTGGGGTCCCCGTGGGCGGTCGTGGGGAGGCGGCCTCACCTTTGCCAGGGGTCCCCCGGGGCTCTGGACATCCTCCTCTCCCGCGGAAGCCACATCTGAGCCAGGAAGGGGCTGAGCTGGGAAGAGGCAGAGGCGTCACTGTCGGCCCCCAGCAGCCCAGGCTCCGCGCTCCCCCCCCCCCAAGGCTTTGCTGGGTGCCCCGGGGGAGTCGCTCAGCGCAGGGGAGGGCAGTTTAGAACTGATGTCACACACGCATGTCCACGCCACACTCACCCCACTGGCATACCGCACTCACACGTCACACATGCACACGACACACGTGTCAGACTCCTCACACATCACAAACACACCGCGCTCATCACACACATTCACACTTACACACGTCACACGCACTTCCCTGCCTTCTTAGTGGAGCCGCCGGAGGGCTCATGTGTGTACTGGAACCTCCCCCCACCCCCGCCGCCATCATGCTTCTCCTGGGAGCCGGCAGGTCCTCTACAACCCCATGGCCCCGCTGGCCACCACCAGTGCTGCCCTGAGGATGACCTGAGCGGCGGCCCAGGCCCTGCGGGTGAGCAGGGCGCCGACCCAGGGCTGCGTGCGGCGCTGCGATGGACAACTGCGGTCAGCAAGCTGTGGTCCTCGTGAGAGCCCGGGACTCTATCCTCGCCCTGCCTGTGGGGAGCAGCTCTACAGCCAAGAATGGGTTTCAGATTCACAGAAATAAAGTCAGCGGCACATGCCAGGACCCGGGGCGGCATGGCCAGGCCGGGCGGGCGCTGCCGCTGCCTCTGCTTCCTCCCTCCCGCCAGGCGGCCTCCGAGACGGACTCAGGCAGCACCATGGACAGGGCCGAAAGACTCCCCCACCAGAAGGTGCCTCGCTGTGAGAAGGGGGACCCGGAGCTGTGACCCTGGGAGGAGTGACCTGGGGGCCCTGGGGCTGTGACCTGGGAGGAGTGACCTGGGGACCCTGGGACTGTGACCTGGGAGGAGTGACCTGGGGACAGAGGGGCTGTGACCTGGGAGGAGTGACCTGGGGACCCTGGGACTGTGACCTGGGAGGAGTGACCTGGGGACAGGGGGCTGTGACCTGGGAGGAGTGACCTGGGGACCCTGGGGCTGTGACCTGGGAGGAGTGACCTGGGGACAGGGGGCTGTGACCTGGGAGGAGTGACCTGGGGACCCTGGGGCTGTGACCTGGGAGGAGTGACCTGGGGACAGGGGGCTGTGACCTGGGAGGAGTGACCTGGGGACCCTGGGGCTGTGACCTGGGAGGAGTGACCTGGGGACAGGGGGCTGTGACCTGGGAGGAGTGACCTGGGGACCCTGGGGCTGTGACCTGGGAGGAGTGACCTGGGGACAGGGGGCTGTGACCTGGGAGGAGTGACCTGGGGACAGTGGAGCTGTGACCCTGGGAGGAGTGACCTGGGGACAGAGGGGCTGTGACCTGGGAGGAGTGACCTGGGGGCCCTGGGGCTGTGACCTGGGAGGAGTGACCTGGGGGCCCTGGAGCTGTGACCTGGGAGGAGTGACCTGGGGACCCTGGGGCTGTGACCTGGGAGGAGTGACCTGGGGACAGAGGGGCTGTGACCTGGGAGGAGTGACCTGGGGGCCCTGGGGCTGTGACCTGGGAGGAGTGACCTGGGGGCCCTGGGGCTGTGACCTGGGAGGAGTGACCTGGGGACAGAGGGGCTGTGACCTGGGAGGAGTGACCTGGGGACCCTGGGGCTGTGACCTGGGAGGAGTGACCTGGGGACAGAGGGGCTGTGACCTGGGAGGAGTGACCTGGGGGCCCTGGGCTGTGACCTGGGAGGAGTGACCTGGGGACAGAGGGGCTGTGACCTGGGAGGAGTGACCTGGGGGCCCTGGGGCTGTGACCTGGGAGGAGTGACCTGGGGACAGAGGGGCTGTGACCTGGGAGGAGTGACCTGGGGGCCCTGGGGCTGTGACCTGGGAGGAGTGACCTGGGGACCCTGGGGCTGTGACCTGGGAGGAGTGACCTGGGGACAGAGGGGCTGTGACCCTGGAAGGAGTGACCTGGGGACAGTGGAGCTGTGACCCTGGGAGGAGTGACCTGGGGACAGAGGGGCTGTGACCTGGGAGGAGTGACCTGGGGACAGAGGGGCTGTGACCCTGGAAGGAGTGACCTGGGGGCCCTGGGGCTGTGACCTGGGAGGAGTGACCTGGGGGCCCTGGAGACTGGCCTCCACAACCTCCTGTGCCTCACTTATGCACCCCTGACCCAGTAGGGAACAGTGGTTACCTGGTGCTGAAATCGCCACGTGTGCAGGGGACCTGGAAGTCTCCCCACTTCCCAAGTGCAGCCCCCTGGCAGGCACAGAGCCGCAGCCTGGACTGGGTAGGCACTCGGATAATCCGTGAGCTGAGCTCTGTGGCTGACGTCGACAGTGTCTGTGGGCTCAGCTCCGTGGCTGCACGTGGACTGGCCAAGCAGCAGGGAGGTCACCTCCCAGGACTGCACATTCATGGCCCTCGCAACTCTGGGGGACACAGGAGCCACACCCCCACAGCTGTGGCCCACAGCCCCGCCCCGGCTGCACTGCTCCACCTGGCTGGACGGCCCTGAAGCAGATGGTGCTGCAGCCACGCCTTGGCCACAAGAGGGCGCCCGGGCTCTCTCTGCACTTGGTGTCCCAGCAGTACTCAAGGCAAAATCGAGTCTCTGGCAACATTTAAAACTGCAAAGGCATCGCTAGAGAATCAAGGATGCCCTAAGTAAGGGGTGCCTGAGGGGGTGAGGACGCCACATGGGCACGGCCACCAAAGTCTCTTACGCCCCAGTGGTGCAGCCCAGCTGACACAGCTAGGTCCTCGCAGGACCACGAGGTCAGCAGGGGACAGGGGACACACAAGGACCACGCAGCCCCCTCCAGCAGCCTGCAGCCCTGACGTGCCCCGCCCTGTGCGCTCTACTGTTCCAAAGCTGCCTCCCTCAGGGTCTGCTCCCAGCCCCAGGACCCTGCTGGCCCTGGTAGTGGGAGGAGCCATCTCTCAGCAGCGCTGGGGCCACACCCCTGCCAGGAGGGGCAGAGGGGCCGCAGGCTCACCTCTCCTGAGCCTCGGCCAGGAGCCAGCACTCACCCCGCCACACTGAACCCACAGCACAGCACATGCACACACATGCATGCTGCACAAAGCAGACACGCGCCTCACTCACACCACACACATACACTCCATATGCATACTACACACGCACGCACAGCAGAGCTCTACCTCCTAAGGAGGCCACCGTGGTTTCTTCCTCAGTTTCTTCAGTTCTGGAATCTTCTATGCTGCTGCCTCCAGCCAAGGGAGGAGAAGTGACCGGGGGCTGCTCAGGGAGGCTGGGTGTTCGGGGTGCGCCCTGCAGGACGAGAGGGGAAAGCAGCTCCATGGTTCTGTGAGCCCCGCACCCCGAGCAGGTGCTGCCGCGCTGAGCAAACCCCAGGCCTGAGAACAGCTGGGAGCAGCCGGCTGTGTGCTGCAGCCCCCCGGGGCAGCCCTGCCCGCCCCGCCCTGACTGTGCATCCCCAACTGGCCGAGGCCTGAGGCCTCCTCAGGGCCTGGCCGGGCCCCTTCCAGAGGCTGGGGACACAGAGGGTGGGTCTGAGGCACCAGGGACTCCTGTGGGAGTCTCCTCATGAAACACACGTGCACCCGGTGAGGATCACAGCCCTGGATCCCATCCCTTAGCCCCCGCCCGCACTGGTGACCTGTGACCCCCATCCCTTAGCCCTTGCTCACACTGATGTCCTGTGACCCCCCCGTTCCCCACAAGTGAGGCTGCCCTGCTCTGGAAACCCAAGGGGGCATTCAGATGGGTGGGCAGGGACCTGCCGCCCGACACATGTGTGGCTGTGCCCCGTAACGTCCTGTGTGTCGGTGAGAGTGTGGTCCAGGCAGACAGAAATGGCCACCCTTCCAGGGGCCGATGCCACAGCCAGCCATGTGGGCGATCCAGCCCAGGGTACAGAGCGGAGACGGGGGTCCACACCAGCCCGGGACAGAGGCTTCCTTCTGCACAGCTACTCCGTGCAGTGACCCGGGGACACTGGAGACTGTGACCCCTGTGAGGAGTGACCCGGGGACACTGGAGACTGCGACCCCTGTGAGGAGTGACCCGGGCACACTGGAGACTGCGACCCCTGTGAGGAGTGACCCGGGCACACTGGAGACTGCGACCCCTGTGAGGAGTGACCCGGGCACACTGGAGACTGCGACCCCTGTGAGGAGTGACCCGGGCACACTGGAGACTGAGACCCCTGTGAGGAGTGACCCGGGGACACTGGAGACTGCGACCCCTGTGAGGAGTGACCCGGGCACACTGGAGACTGCGACCCCTGTGAGGAGTGACCCGGGGACACTGGAGACTGCGACCCCTGTGAGGAGTGACCCGGGCACACTGGAGACTGCGACCCCTGTGAGGAGTGACCCGGGGACACTGGAGACTGAGACCCCTGTGAGGAGTGACCCGGGGACACTGGAGACTGCGACCCCTGTGAGGAGTGACCCGGGCACACTGGAGACTGCAACCCCTGTGAGGAGTGACCCGGGCACACTGGAGACTGCGACCCCTGTGAGGAGTGACCCGGGGACACTGGAGACTGAGACCCCTGTGAGGAGTGACCCGGGCACACTGGAGACTGAGACCCCTGTGAGGAGTGACCCGGGGACACTGGAGACTGCGACCCCTGTGAGGAGTGACCCGGGCACACTGGAGACTGCGACCCCTGTGAGGAGTGACCCGGGGACACTGGAGACTGAGACCCCTGTGAGGAGTGACCCGGGCACACTGGAGACTGCGACCCCTGTGAGGAGTGACCCGGGGACACTGGAGACTGAGACCCCTGTGAGGAGTGACCCGGGCACACTGGAGACTGCGACCCCTGTGAGGAGTGACCCGGGGACACTGGAGACTGAGACCCCTGTGAGGAGTGACCCGGGCACACTGGAGACTGCGACCCCTGTGAGGAGTGACCCGGGGACACTGGAGACTGAGACCCCTGTGAGGAGTGACCCGGGGACACTGGAGACTGAGACCCCTGTGAGGAGTGACCCGGGCACACTGGAGACTGCGACCCCTGTGAGGAGTGACCCGGGGACACTGGAGACTGAGACCCCTGTGAGGAGTGACCCGGGCACACTGGAGACTGCGACCCCTGTGAGGAGTGACCCGGGGACACTGGAGACTGAGACCCCTGTGAGGAGTGACCCGGGCACACTGGAGACTGAGACCCCTGTGAGGAGTGACCCGGGGACACTGGAGACTGAGACCCCTGTGAGGAGTGACCCGGGCACACTGGAGACTGCGACCCCTGTGAGGAGTGACCCGGGCACACTGGAGACTGCGACCCCTGTGAGGAGTGACCCGGGCACACTGGAGACTGTGACCCCTGTGAGGAGTGACCCGGGGACACTGGAGACTGAGACCCCTGTGAGGAGTGACCCGGGCACACTGGAGACTGTGACCCCTGTGAGGAGTGACCCGGGGACACTGGAGACTGAGACCCCTGTGAGGAGTGACCCGGGGACACTGGAGACTGTGACCCCTGTGAGGAGTGACCCGGGCACACTGGAGACTGCGACCCCTGTGAGGAGTGACCCCGGGACACTGGAGACTGCGACCCCTGTGAGGAGTGACCCGGGGACACTGGAGACTGAGACCCCTGTGAGGAGTGACCCGGGCACACTGGAGACTGCGACCCCTGTGAGGAGTGACCCCGGGACACTGGAGACTGAGACCCCTGTGAGGAGTGACCCGGGCACACTGGAGATTGAGACCCCTGTGAGGAGTGACCCAGGGACAATGCAGGTGCAGCCAGCTGGCCCCTTGGAGAAGCTCCTTGGAGCTGCCTGCGGGTTGCGTTACTGCAGGGGCTGCCCAGGTGGGGCAGGGGCCGGGCTGGGGCAGGCAGGGCCTGGCGGGTGGGTGTGAGCAGGGCTGCACCTGCTGGGGGTCATCCTGGGCCGCTCAGCCGGCCTGGCACAGACAGCCACCGCTGTGTTCCGGGCACCTCTGCCTCCCCGAGTCCCCAGCCCAGCGCGCGTCTGGGAGGAAGAGGCCGAGGGGCCGCTGAGGGTGCTGACCAGGGTCCTGGCCACTACAGGGCCAATGTCCCGCACATGGTGTCCCGGGGGCTACTGTGCGTCTCCTCGTTCCTCCTCCTTCCTGGCCCTCCTCACACCAGCGGAAAGGTCAGGGGGTCCCAGCCCTCCTAGGGTCGGCGGGTCGAGTGACCGTCCACCGTGGGAGCTCAGCATCCCCCAGCCCCCTGGCCCCAGCACGAGCCCTCGCACCAGACGCGGGGCACGAGGCTCGCCGGCAGGGCCCTCCAGGCGTCCTTGGGTGGCCTGAGGGACGCCGAGGTCTCCTCAGAACCTCACTTCCGTTCTCACCGGAAGCAGCCAAGTCATCCTCAGACTGAGCACGTCCCACGTGACCGTGGGAGCCCGAGTCACACATGCGTGTGCACACGTGTGGCTGTGTGGGCACGCCCCACCATGGGGCGCAGTCCCCGGCCAGGAACCCTCGGGGAGGGCGACTCACCGTCTCCTCCCCGGCCAGCTGTCGGTTCTCCTCCAGTCCACTCCCGAAGTCTCCGGAAGCCTGGAGGGTTTAGGGGCAGTGAGGAAGAGATGACCGCGGCCCAGGCCCCGGCAGGGCTGCCCAGTGATGAGGGCCTTGTCCCCGGCCCGCGGGGGCAGCCGCCCAGCCGCCCCCCTGTGCCTCTGAGTTCTCAGCGGGGAGGCGGGGCCGCAGGGTGGACACGCAGGCGTCCCCTTCCCGGCCATCAGCCTGGTCACGTTTCAGAGCCAGGGTGGCCATGGCGCCACACAGAGAACCGTGGGGAGCACACCTGTCCCGTGGCCTGGCCGCCCTGCTCGGGCACGGGGCCCTGGGGAGGCCACGCACTCGACGGTCACGGCCGCTGCTGCGGGAAAACTGGGCCCGCGCACGCGTCGCTCGAGGCTCAGCCTCTGCCCGGCTTCGTGGAGGCCCTGCACTCCGTCACCGCGCTGGAACTCAAAAACCCTCGTGGCCGCGTGGTCCCTGCCCCCAGGGCCCTGAGCTCCAGCGGCCCTCGTGTGCAGGCACCTGTGCACCCCAGAAGCAGCAGCAGCGGGTGAGCGCTGCCCAGCCACCAGAGTCACGGACCCGTGAGCAGAACACGGGACCGGCGCAGGGTGGACCCAGGCTGGCTGCGGCCGCACCCTCACCGGCGACGGCTGGACGTCACGCTGGGGCGTTTTGTGACCTGGAACCTTCTTCAGGAATATTGCTTACCCCTGCTGTCCACACGAGGCTGGGATGTGGCAGGTTTTCCTCCTAGGGTTAACACGCACACACACCCCACACATGTACTTACGTCTCCACACCACACATCACATCACACATACACATGCCAGACACTGCAAATCACACACACAGATATCACACATGCACTTACCACACACAAACCTATACACCACACATATACATGCAGCACACACTGTGGGGAGCAACTGGGAGCAACCCGGACTGGACTGAGTTACTGGAATTAAGACTTATTCTATGCATCTGCTCTCCCACAATATGGCGCTGGGAGAGGAGGAAACAGCTTCTACCCAGCTGCCTCTCACCAACTTGACAAGCTGCAGGAGCCGCTCCTGATTGGAGGAGAGCAGCGTACTCGGCGTGTGGGCAGCCGAGTTGGGATTGGTGGAGAGGACTATATAGGAGGAGAGAGACGGCATGGTGGTGTGGGTTGGTTGGAGAGTGTGTTGGAGAGTTCGCGGGGAAGTTCGTTACTTCGTTCTTTCTCACTTCTCTCTACTCATTCTTGCTTTGGGAGTTTGCTGTTTACTTATTCTTACTTTACTATAGAAAGGACTTGTAAAAAAAGGGAACAACAAGCGTCCGGTCCGGTGCGGCTCCTCCGCACGCGGAGGAGCAGCAAATGGTGCCGTGACTCGGATAGGAAACTTAGGAGGGAAGAAACGGGAAGATGAGAGGAAAATACCGGAGAGAGAGACTAGCAAAGAGCCTAGGGAAAAGCCGGACAGAAAAGGTGCCGGAAGAAGCTATCGAAAGCCTAGGCATAGACTCGGATATGGACTGTGGGAAAGAAGTTAGGATTGAAAGCGAAAGTGAAAGCTTTCATAGACTCGGATGCGGACTATGGCGGGGAAGCTAGGAGATTGAAAGCGAAAGTGAAACCTGGAGGAGGCTTGGACTTGGATACGGACTGTGGGGAGAAGCCGGGAGAAATGAGGGAGGAATATTGTTGGAAGAAAACTTAGGGAAACATACCGGGTAGAGAAAAATGTTAGGGAAATTGAAGCCGCGGGGGGCAGGCCGAGGTGGAGACGTAAGCCAGTTTGGAACTCTTTAAGTCAGCCCAGGGGGCAAAAGGCGAAGATCTGGAACCAGAGGCAGAGACGTGGGCCCCAGGTTGAATTCGCCAGGTTAGCCCGGGGAACTTAGATTGAATACTAGTGGCGGAAACGTGAGCTGGGGCTGTGTGACTCACGGAAGCCGCCGCGTGCAGAGAGAACACGGGGCGTGAATAGATAGGGAATGCGGGGCTAGCGCGAGGCCATGGTGTGGACGCGAAGGGCGCGGAGACCACGGAGCGCACGAAGCTGAGCCGCGCAGATGAGAGAAGCGCGGGCTGAAGCAGTGCAAAGCCGGGAAGCCGCCGCGGGGCGAGGCACCAGGAAGCCGCGCAGAGCTGTGAAGCTGCCATGGGGCGAGGTGCCGAGAAGCTGCCACGGGGCGAGGTGCCGAGAAGCAGCCTCGGGGCGGGCGCCGGGAAGCCGCAGGGATAAGAGAAACAGAAGTTTAGAAGTAAAATGAGAGAAATAGGAATGCTGGTAGATAGAAGTAAAACAGGAGAAATAGGAATGCCCGGAGATAGAGAAATAGAGAAAGGCCTCCCCACAACACAGCAATGAGAGAGCTTGGATTCGGTCTGCCTGATTAGTAAGACGATAAGCACCTGCGGGCGGCTAGCAGCTTATGCGCCGCAGGTCACCGAAGACAGGCACGAATTAACACCAATAAGTCTCCCCACAATACGGCAATGAGAGGGCTTGGATTCGGTCTGCCTGATAGGACTTGTTTTTTTTTTTTTTTAAAAAACTTTTATTTATTTGAAAGAGTCACAGAGAGAGAGAGAGAAGAAGGGAGAGAGAGGAGAGAGAAAGAGCTTCACATCCATTGGCTCACTCTTCAAAGGGCCACAATGTCCAGGACCGAACCAGACTGAAGCCAGGAGCCAGGAGCTCCATCTGAAAGCATCGTCTACTGTGTTCCCAGGCACGTTAGAAGGGAGCTGGATGGGAAGTGGGGCAGCTGAGACTTGAACTGGCGCCCATATGGGATGCTGGCAACCGCAGGCAGTGGCTCAACCTGCTGAGCCACAGCGCCAGCCCCTGCCTGATAGGACTTGTAAGCACCTGCAGGCAGTTCTAGCAGAGTAGAGCATGCGCTGCAGGGCACCGAACTCAGGCACGCATCAGCGCCTAAAAACCTCCTCACAACATGGCGAAGAGAGGACCCGGATTCGGTTTGCCTGATTGATAGGGCTTGTAAGCACCTGTGGGCAACTCTAGCAAGCAGAGCAGAGTGTGTGCCGCAGGGCACCGAAGACAGGCGCGTATCAACGCCAAAAATAAAAAGAAAGGGGGATCTGTGGGGAGCAACTGGGAGCAACTCGGACTAGACTAAGTTACTGGAATTAAGACTTATTCTATGCATCTGCTCTCCCACAATGTGGCGCTGGGAGAGGAGGAAACAGCTTCTACACAGCTGCCTCTTGCCAATTTGATTGACTGACCTGCAGGAGCTGATCCTGCTCCTGATTGGAGGAGAGCAGCGTACTCGGCGTGTGGGCAGCCGAGTTGGGATTGGTGGAAGAGGACTATAAAGGAGGAGAGAGACAACATGCACCAGGAACATCTAAGGGGAACATCTATCTGAAGGAACACCTGTGCATCCCCCGAGAGAGCCGGCCGGCGGTGTGCCGCTCCCCTGCGGAAGTGGGGAAAGTGGCCAGGGGGAACTGCCCTTCCACGGAGGTGGAAGGGACAGTAGCCAACCCGGGAAGAACCAGCAGCAAACCCGGGGAGGGCTGAGCAGACGAAAGAACAGCGCAGGGTCCTGTGTCGTTCCTCCATGAAGACGGGGAGCGACACACACCATGTACACGCCACACCATACAGACACCACACATCATACCCACACCCACACTGCACTCTCAACCACACTCACACGCCTCCACCCCCACACCTACACATATGACTACATGCACCACACATACAACACATGCCACACATAGCCCATACGTCCCCCACATACATGACACACAACACACCCACACATCCCCACATATGTACATGCCACACAACACCACACCCCGCAACACTCCCAAGTGCCCCCATATGCCCACACACCCACACCAGACGTACCACACACACACTACATACACCTACATACACCCACTCATAGCACATACCCATATACACACTCACACACACTCAAATATACACACACACCACACACACACTCACATACACCCACACCACATACACACCCTCACACACACACACATACTCACACACCACACACACACATATACCCACACCACACACACACATACACACACCACACTCACACACACATATACACACACTCATTTACACATACACCCACACCACATACATACCCTCACACACACACATACTCACACACCACACACACATACACACATACACACACACCACACTCACACACACATATACACTCATATACACATACACCCACACCACATATACACCCTCACACACACACACATACTCACACACCACACACACACTCACACACGCCCTTACACATATACACACATTCATATACATATACACCCACACACACACATACACACACCCACACACCACACACACACATATACACATACACCCTTAGACATATGCCCACATTCATATACACATACACCCACACCACACACACATACACACATACACACACACCACACTCACACACACATATACACACTCATATACACATACACTCATACCACATACACACCCTCACACCCACACACACCACACACACATATTCACACACGCCCTTACACATATACACATTCATATACACATACACCCACACCACACACACACATACACACACATACTCACACATACCACACTCACACATATCACACACTCAGACACTCACACTCACACCATATCACACACATATCACACACTCACACACACTCATATACACATACACCCACACCACACACACACATACACACACTCACACACACACCACACTCACACATATCACACACTCACACACACTCACACACACTCACTCACACACTCACACATACCACACTCACACACACACTCACACATATCACACACACCACTCACTCTCACATACACACCACACTCACACCCACCACACTCATATACACATACCCCCACACCACACACACACACTCACACATATACTCACACATACCACACTCACACATATCACACACTCACACACACACTCACACACACATACTCACACATACCACACTCACACATATCACACACTCACACTCACACATATCACACACACCACACTCACTCTCACATACACACCACACTCACACACACACTCATATACACATACACCCACACCACACACACACACTCACACATATACTCACACATACCACACTCACACATATCACACACTCACACACACACCACACTCACTCTCACATCCCCACACAACCCTCTGGCGGCCCTTACCCACTCCTGTTCTGTGTGTGTTTTTCAGCGGAGAGGTCGGGCTACCCCCCCTCCCTGGTACCCGCACTGGCGTCTCTGGGGCTTCTCCGCGCCACCCCCGGGGTCCGGGCACTCACCCCGCCATCGTCATCGTCGTCCTCGTCCAGGCAGTGCAGGGTGCTCAGCTGCGGGTCCCCACGCACCCTCAGCTCCGCGATGCTGCCCTACACGCAGACGGGAGAGGTCACCAGCGATGCCGGCAGAGCCCGCCGGTGCTGGCCCCGCCCCCGCCCCCACCCCCGCCCGGCCCTGAGAGAGCACAGGAGGCTCGGGTGCTTCCCTCCAGGGCCAAAAGCTTCACATCAGGGAGACGGCGAGGGCCTGGAGGGGGCAGTGTCCTGGGCACTCAGGGTCAGCATTTGGGGCAGAGGGTGGCCGGGGCCCCAGGGGGCAGCTGCTCCAAGGCACCTCGTGAGCCCTGTGGCCCAGGGCAGGGGAGTGCAGCGCCAAGGAAGGCCCGGATGTGAGCCTGTCTCAGGACAGCTGCGGCCAGTGCCCCCCCAGGGCACCACGAGGCCTGCCGGCACCCGCAGCCCTGCAGGGGGAAGAGGGGCCCGGTGCCTTTGTCGACAGGGGCTCCCGCTGGGCCTGTTCCGGTATTTCCGGATTGCTACTGAACGTTGTCATCCGGGGCACCAGCGTCAGCGTGTGTTCTTCCTCAACAGAGCCTGCCGGCGGCAATCCCGAGTGAGCTGTTCTGGGACTCCCACGGCGGGCGCGTGTGGGCTGGGGACGGCCAGCCAGCCGCGTGGGGCCTCAGGCTCTCTGCCAGGCTCCTCTGTGCTCGCCTGGAACACGGAGCCCACGGGCGTGGCTGCTGCAGCGAATCTCAGCTGTGGACGCTGAATCTGACTTCGTGGGATTCTCACGTCACAGGGCAACGGTCGTCTTTGGTTGTTTCTGGTCATACAGAGCCGAGAGCCCTCTGAGCCCGTGGGAGCCACAGAGGCAACACCTGCCAGACCCCCGTCATCTGTCCCTGGGCTGACCCTGGGGGCGTGGTGCCATCTAGGTCCTCCACGGTGAACCGTGGCCGGGGTCCCGAGCTCTGTGGGCGGTGCCCTCTCACAGCCCTGGCCCTGCAGCCTCGGGAGGGGCAGGGTTTCCAGCAAGCTCTGAGGTGCAGCCAGGAGGACCAGCCCTGGCCTGGGGGCATCCAGGTCATCATCAGTGTCCACGGTGGCCCCCGCCTGGCGGGCAGTGGCACTGCGAGGGAGGGGGTGGCCGTACCCTGAGGCAGCATCAGGGACCAGGACTCCTCCTCAGTCCAGAGGGGACCAGGCCAGGGGTGCCACCTGCACAGCCCTGTCCTCCATGCTGGAGCGCACTGGGCACGCCCACTGAGGTCTCAGCCCCGCCCCTTGTGTCAATCAAATCCCATTCCCCACTCCATCCTCACCTATCTGGCCACGCCCTCCCAGGACGGACCTGTCACCTCCCTCAGCGTGGCCCAGGTCCCACAGGACATGGGGGCAGGGCCTGAGGACCGGGCACAGGTGCAGCAGGGGGCGGGTGCGTCTGGGCAGGGAGAGCCCCTGGGCCAGAGGGAGAGCACAGGAGCACAGGCTATGGCCACGCACAGCCCAGCTCCAACCTGCAGTCCTGGGAGCTAAAGCACCATGGTGGGCAGGACAGTGCCCAGGAAGGGTGTGCAGGTGTGTGTGTGTGTGTGTGTGTGATCATGTGTGCATGTGTGTGGGAGCACACAGTCATGTACATGTGCACCATGTCTGAGAACATGTGATCATGTGTGCATGTGTGTGGGAGCACACTGCCATGTACATGTGCACCATGTGTGAGAACATGTGATCATGAGTGTGGGAGCACACTGCCATGTACATGTGCACCATGTGTGAGAACATGTGATCATGTGTGCGTGAGTGCAGGAGCACACGGCCATGTACATGTGCACCATGTGTGAGAACATGTGATCATGTGTGTGGGAGCACACTGCCATGTACATGTGCACCATGTGTGAGAACATGTGATCATGTGTGTGTGAGTGCAGGAGCACACGGCCATGTACATGTGCACCATGTGTGAGAACATGTGATCATGTGTGCGGGAGCACACGGCCATGTACATGTGCACCATGTGTGAGAACATGTGATCATGTGTGCGGGAGCACACAGCCATGTACATGTGCACCATGTGTGAGAACATGTGATCATGTGTGCGGGAGCACACGACCATGTACATGTGCACCATGTGTGAGAACATGTGATCATGTGGCCATGTGTGTGGGAGCACACGGCCATGTACATATGCACCATGTGTGAGAACATGTGATCATGTGATCATGTGTGGGAGCACACGACCATGTATATATACATTATGTGTGACTGAGAGCATGCGATCACGTGTACACATGTGTGGGAGGGAGCACACGGTCATGTACATGTGCACCATGTGATCATGTGTGCAGGAGCACATGCTCATGTACATGTGCCCTATGTGTGAGAACATGTGATCATGTGGGCACGTGTGCGGGAGCACATGCTCATGTACATGTGCACCATGTGGAAGCATGTGTCTGTTCATGCGTGAGACAAGTGTGACTTGTGTGTGTACATGTGTGATCCTGTATGTGGACATGATGTGTGCACATGAGAGTGCGTGACTGAGCGTGTGTGTGTACACCTGTGACAGCACACACGTGGGAGCACAGGACCCCAGGATTCCCTGGGTGCACACAGGAGCCTGTCCTGTCCAGACGGCACAGAGGGTGGGGCCCAGGCTCCCTCTAGACGCAAAGCCTCAGGCCTCCCACACCCACAGGAGGGCAGGGGTGCGGCCTGGGGGCCTCTCGGGGGAGGAGCAGATTCCAGAAAACAGCCGCTCAGCAGAGGCACGGGCTCAGGGGCTTCACGTGGTCTTGGCCAGGGCTCCCCCCACAGAGCAGCCCACCCCACAGCTGCTGTGTGTGATGCCAGCAGGGTGCCAGGACAGAGCCCGCCCGGCCTGCCCCCCTCCGCCCGTGCCGGGGGCCGTTCAGTGCAGGGACGCTGCAGTGCAGAAGCCACGAGACTCCTTGCAAATATTTGATGGACTTGGAACCAGGAGTTATGAAACCCAGCGCGCAGGACGGAGGATCACAGAACATTCCGCCAGCAAACACGGTGCACAGGCCCCGCCTGGCGCCCAGACCGGGCCACGTGTGACTGTCTGGGGCCGTGCACGGTGGCCGTGCGTGAGCTCCGGCACCCTCCGGCCCCTCTCCTCACCCCCACCCCGGCAAAGCTGCCTCCTGCAGGGGAGCCTGGCAGGTACGGCACTCCCCGGCCCCGGACGCCCAGCGACTCGGGTCCACACGCTCCGTGCAGCCTGCACCTTCCCTGGGTCCCCCGAGTGACCCTGCCCAACCTGCACCCATCCCTAGGCTGCGCTAGTGACTCGGGCCACCACACTCCGTCCACGCTGTCCACCGAGCACACGGCTTGTCCTCAGGGTCCTGCCACGTGGCCACACCCAGGCTCATCATCTCCGTACAGACAACTCTGTCCTGTCTCTCCCTCCAGTTCCAGCTAAACCAGGAAATGGCATTTCTGTGGCAGCACCACATGCAGACCGCAGCACTCCCGGGTCACTCCGGAGGCGCGAAGCGGCTGTCGTCAAAAGAGGGTGTCGGGAAGGGGCCAGGTGAGCTGAGCGCCAGGAAGCGCCAGGCTGCGCTCAGACCTGTGGGTGCCCCCAGCTCCCGGGAGGAGGAGGCAGAACCTATCCTTTGCTCCGCCCCTCGCGAGGCAAGGCCACCTCTCTCCCATCACCCACTTTCTGTGCGACGTGGCCACGGCTGCACACGGAGCAAAATCCGCGGCCTCCACTGCTTTGGCCGTTGAACAGAGCACAGGCGACGGCAGGGCTCCCTCTCCTGAGCCGCTGGCGTGGCGCCCGCACGGCCGGGGTCAGAGGGCATTCGTGGGACGCTCATCTGCAAACAGACGGCTGACATCAAAAGAATGAGGCCAGAGCAAGGGACGCGTCACAGAGATAAAGAAAACCAGGCCACCGAGAACCGGGGACACTTCGAGCAGGAGTCAGGGCAGCGCACCTGCCGAGCACACGTGGTGCCCACAGGTACACGTGACGCAGCGCGGCTGGGGCTCCAGGGAGCATCCTGGTCGCTGGGCGGGGTGAGCGGCTCTGGCTTCTGACCCTAAAGGCCTCCTCCGACCCTGCCCTCGGCCAAGGAGAACCGTGGGTGCCCTGGGTGAGGCCGGCTCCGACCCTGGGTGGGTGGTGTGGGGGCGTGAAGGATTCGGTCTCCGGCAGCTCTGGCAGCTCTGGGCTCGGTCCTGCCGACCCCAGAATCTGCACATCTAGAACGAGGCGTCTGTGCGACTCTCGCCCTGATCAGAACTCGCTCTGCTCACACGCGTCGCCTCCTCCCAGCTGGGAACCCACAGAGAAAAGTCTGAGCTCCAGGGTCTCGGGGACACACCTAGTGGACCAAGGAACTGCACAGGCCTCTGGACAGGGGCCCAAAGCCCCGCCCCATTTCCAACTGTGAGAGGTTCTGCAGAGACAGAGTCCTGGGCGTTTCTTCAGGCCACTTCTGACATCCAACACAGAATGAACGGGGTAATAAAATCGACGTCATAAAAACCAAGGCTCCTGTTCTTTCATATGTCAAGAGTTTCTACAAATCAATAAGAAGTCGCTGAACCTGTCCTGAAAAAACCAGGAACAGGACGGTCACAAAGGACAAGGCAAACTGCCAGCAACGAGGTGGACAGAGGAGGTGGAAAGCCGAGTCGTCCTCACCACAGCAGTGCCTTTGCCTGGGACCCCTTGTGCTACACACGTGTCACAGATGCCGGCGGCTGCAATGCCAGGCAGGCTTCCCAGAGGCCCCCATCAGCCGACTGCCCCACCCCACTGGTGTGACTGGCACCAGTCTCCTTCCCGTCAATCATGTTTGCAAGTCAAAAGGAAAACACAGAGGCCCAGTTGGATCTCAAAGTCCTGGGCTCCTGAGCCACGAGGGTTAAAAGTTGCTGCCAAGGGCAAAAGGTCAGCTTCAGAGCCGAGACCCTGGGACGTGGAACAGCTTCAAACAAGCGGCCTCTGTCTGGACAATAATTAACTCTCTGTCCCAAGGACACCCCCCCGCACAGGGACCCCTGTCGGGGCGGCCCCAGCACCAGAATCCAGGCCAGTGAGTCAGCGCTGGCCGAGGGCACCCACGCGGCTGCTCCCAGGGGACCGAGATGCCAGCCCTGGGCTCAGAGACGTGACCCTGCCCCTGCTCAGGGCTCTGTCCACTTCCCTGGAGCAGCAGGGCAGACACATGCCGGCCACCACTGGGGAAGTCCCACCCACACTGCCCTGAGGTGCGAACCCCCTGGGACGGGTCACTCAGAGGCTGGCGGCCACCCCCAGAAGGGCCCTGAGCAGCTCACTGCTCGGCCGTCACCGGCTTCAAATGGCCGGACTTCTCACAGGGCCCTGAGACCCAGCCGCCCCCGCCCCTGCCCCCCGCCGTGCCCGGCTCACACGGGGTGGGGGCGGGGCTCCTGACCGTGGCAGGGCGGGCGTCGGATGCAAGAGGGCAAGAGCATGGCGGCCCCTCCCGGGACTCAGGGGAAGCCCAGCTGCCCGGGGCTGGCCCCAGCGTCCTCTCAGGTTACCTGGAACTTGTCAGGGTCGGCTCCTCCGGCCTGAGCCACAAAGAGGCCAGAGCCAGGCTCCAGCCGCAGGCCCTGTGCAGAGCGCGTGAACGGCACCCTCTGGAACTCCTCGCAGTCCACGTAGAGCGTCACGTGGCCGCCGTCCACGCTGAGTGCGAAGCGCAGCCACTGGCCGACGAAGGCGGGCAGGCGGAAGCTGGCGGCCGTGTGGGTGTGGCGGGCGCCCGGCTCCGTGTAGAGCAGCGAGATGAGCTGGTGCCCGTCCCGCACCTCCGAGACCTTCACGCCCAGCGTGACCACGGCCTGCGCCGGGTCCGTGATGGCGAACAGCACCCCGGCGCGCTCCGTGGCCGGCCGGACGCGGAACAGCAGCAAGAAGTCCCGGAAGAAGGGGCTGGGGAAGTGGTACTGGGCCGCCTGGCCGCTGTTGGCGTCCGGCCCGAAGACGTAGGCCAGCCCGACGGCGGGGTCCTCCACCTCCGTCACCTGCTGGGGCGGGGGCTCGCCGAGGAGCTGCAGCAGCCCGACCTCGTCGCCGGAGCCCTCTGCAAGAGCAAGCGATACGGTGAGGAGCCCTGCAGCCCCACCTCCGCCCGGGCCACGAGGCTGGGGGCCTGCCGCCCCTCGGACCACCGGCGGCCACCCCCGCTCGTCAAGGCCCCAGCCACGCTACAGAAACCACCTGCGAGGGCCAGCTCCTGGCGCAGCGGGTTAGGCCACCGCCTGCGGTGCCGGCGTCCCCCGTGAGTGCCGGAGTCCCCCATGTGCCGCCAGCTCCCTGCTCCTGTGCTCGGAGGGCGCGGAGGGCGGCCCGAGGACCTGGGCCCCTGCACCCCCGTGGGAGACCCACATGGAGCTCCAGGCTCCTTCCAGCAAGTGGAAGACTCTGTCACTCCCTCTCTAACTCTGCCTTTCAAACAAACATGTCTTCAAACAGAGAGAAAACCAGCTGCAAGGAATTAGGCAGTGCCCCTCTTCCTCCAGGGGCTCACAGGCCACAGGGGGACCCCCAGCGACATCGCAGCCGGCTGGGGGAGGGGAGCATCCCCACAGGAGTGCAGAGCCCCCACCAGCCCCTGCCTGTCCCCCTCGCTCTGACCCCAGGAACAGCAGCGCCAGGCATTACCTGAAGGAAGCCATCCCTCAGTGGCAAGAAAGGAGAAGAGGCGCCTAGACGCCCCCCAGGCTCCAGATGGCCCCCCAGCTCCAGACTCCCCCCTTCCAGGCTCCAGATACTCCCCAGGCGTCAGACCCCTCCCAGGCTTCAGACCCCTCCCAGGCTCCAGATGGCCCCCCAGCTCCAACTCCCCCCTCCCAGGCTCCAGATACTCCCCAGGCGTCAGACCCCTCCCAGGCTCCAGATGCCCCCACCCAGGCTCTTCCAAATGCCCCCACCCCCAGGCTCCTGTGCACCGAGAGCTGGTCCCGCACACAGCAAGCTCCTGGCAGACAAGGAGAACAGGGCCGCTCTCCTCAGAGCCGCCCTCCCGTCACTCCCATGGTCCTCATGGCTTCCCTGCAGGGGACCCCAGAGCCCCCCAGGTTGCATGGGGGAAGCCCACACCGGGACACTCACAGCAAGAGCGTGAGGCGTCTCATGGAGGCTGTGGAGAGATGGTTGGGGCAGGTGTGTGAGCACACAGGGGTGTGCGTGTACAAGTGAGTGTGTGTGTACAAGTGCTTGTGAGTTCTCGAGAGATCATGAGCATGCATACATGTGTGTTCATGAGAACATGAGTGTGAGTGCATGAGCGGGCACATGTGTGAGTGCACAGGAGTGAGTGTGCGAGTGTTCATGAGAATTGAGTGTGTACGTGTGCACTGCGGCCGCACAGGCTGGGCCCCTGCCACAGGCCAAGCTGATGTGGGGTTCCCTGGGGCACAGAAGCTGAACCCCGACTTTGGGAGACAGGTTGTCTTTCAAGCTCCTTGAGAAGAAAACGAACACAGAAGCAAGACGGGACCCTGCGGGAGGCGCCCTCTGGGCCCGGGCAGCCCTGCACTCTGGTGGCCAGGGTCCCGGCCACGTGGGTGGTGGGGCCTGCTGGTCGGAGCTCCCTGTGGGCCTCAGCCCAACCCCGACTGCCAGGACACTAGCGCCAACTGGAAGCAGAGCCGGCCAGGTGCAGAGTGGACAGAGGCCTCCATGGACACAGCCTGGCCTTGCACCTGCTGCCTGAAGGCCACGGCCAGAGAGCATGGCTGGGCTGGCCCTGGGCGGTCACTTCCTGCTGACAGTGCCACTGCCAACCCAGTGACAGCTGCCATGGCGGTCCCTGCTCATCAGAAGCCTGGGGGCCCAGGGTCCCCTTGGGGACACTCCAGGGTCAGAGGCAGGGCTCACGGGCCTGAGTGCTGGTGACAGAGCGGGATGCCGCCCCTACCCTGCCCAGGAAGACAGCAGAAGGCCACAGCTGCCAGCTCGCAGCCTGACCCGGCCAGGTCCCTGCAGAGCCACAGGCGGCTCCTCCCAAACTCCCCTTCCTCCTACCACATTCCTCACGGCTCCCGTGGGGGGACACTCGCCTGGAGAAGGCCCTGGCCCTGGGTCACTGGATCCTGGCCTGGGCTGCATGCCCCAGGAGCAGATGACATCATCGCCTCCCACACTGCCGGCCCGGCCCAGTTGGAGGGCATGCGGCCTCCCTGGGGGACGGACACCTTCCCGGGAATGGGGAACACGGCGGGTGGCCCCTCTGGTCAGCCCAGCACCATTGGATCCAGGCACCAGGGAGCTGGCCGGCAGAGAATGGTCCGCTCAGCAAACAGGCCAGCAGGACGGGGCTGGTTGGAGGTGAAGAGCATGCACACCGGACACCACCCCCTTGAGTGAAGAAAGCCTGAAGATCCCACGAAAGCAGGGTGCAAAGTCCACAGACAGCACCGAATTTCCACACATTAACCACAGAACCATCCAGAGAGCAGATCACAAGGCGACCCATCCACAGCAACACCGAGACAACAAAATCTCGGGCACTGACCTAACCACGCAGGTGAAACACAGGAGAACCGCGAAACGCTGCTGGAGAAATGAAACTCGACACGGACAGCGGGAAGCAGGCCCACGCTCACAGGCCAGGAGTCTGACTGCTGGCAGCTGTCCAGCACTGCTGGAACCCAGCACTGCAGCCAGGGATGGACATGCACACCCTTCAGTGATGGACACCCGCAGTGATGGACACACACACGCCACAGTGATGGACACCCACAGTGATGGACACCCACAGTGATGGACACACACACCCCACAGTGATGGACACACACACCCCACAGTGATGGACACCCACACCCCACAGTGATGGACACCTACACCCCATGGTGATGGATACCTCACACCTCACAGTGTGGATACCCACAGTGATGGTCACTCAGACATCACAGTGATGGACACCCACACCCCACAGTGATGGACACCTACACCCCATGGTGATGGACACCCACAGTGATGGACACCTACACCCCACAGTGATGGACACCCACACCCCACAGTGATGGACACCTACACCCCATGGTGATGGACACCCACAGTGATGGACACCTACACCCCACAGTGATGGACACCCACACCCCACAGTGATGAACACCCACACCCCATGGTGATGGATACCTCACACCTCACAGTGTGGATACCCACAGTGATGGTCACTCAGACATCACAGTGATGGACACACACACCCTGCAGTGATGGACACCTACACCCCACAGTGATGGACACACACACCCCACAGTGATGGACACCCACACCCCACAGTGATGAACACCTACACCCCACGGTGATGGACACACACAGTGATGGACACCCACAGTGATGGACACCCGTACCCCACAGTGATGGACACCTACACCCCATGGTGATGGACACCTCACACCTCACAGTGTGGATACCCACAGTGATGGTCACTCAGACATCACAGTGATGGACACCCACAGTGATGGACACCCACAGTGATGGACACCTGTACCCCCACAGTGATGGACACCTACACCCCACAGTGATGGACACCTTACACCTCACAGTGTGGATACCCACAGTGATGGTCACTCAGACCTCACAGTGATGGACACATACACCTCACAGTGATGGATACCTACACCCCATGGTGATGGACACCTCACACCTCACAGTGTGGATACCCACAGTGATGGACACACACACCCTGCAGTGATGGACACCTACACCCCACAGTGATGGACACCCACACCCCATGGTGATGGACACCTACACCCCACAGTGATGGACACCCACAGTGATGGACACCCACACCCCACAGTGATGAACACCTACACCCCACGGTGATGGACACCTCACACCTCACACCTCACAGTGTGGATACCCACAGTGATGGTCACTCATACATCACAGTGATGGACATCCACACCCCACAGTGATGGACACCCACAGTGATGGACACCCGTACCCCACAGTGATGGACACCTACACCCCACAGTATTGGATACCTTATACCTCACAGTGTGGATACCCACAGTGATGGTCACTCAGACCTCACAATGATGGACACACACACCTCACAGTGATGGACACCTACACCCCATGGTGATGGACACCTCACACCTCACAGTGTGGATACCCACAGTGATGGTCACTCAGACATCACAGTGATGGACACCCACAGTGATGGACACCCACAGTGATGGACACCCGTACCCCCACAGTGATGGACACCTACACCCCACAGTGATGGACACCTTACACCTCACAGTGTGGATACCCACAGTGACGGTCACTCAGACATCACAGTGATGGACACCCACAGTGATGGACACACACAGTGATGGACACCCACACCCCACAGTGATGAACACCTACACCCCACAGTGATGGACACCCACAGTGATGAACACCCACAGTGATGGACACCCGTACCCCACAGTGATGGACACCTACACCCCACAGTGATGGACACCTCACACCTCACAGTGTGGATACCCACAGTGATGGACACCTACACCCCACAGTGATGGACACCCACAGTGATGGACACCTCACACCTCACAGTGTGGATACCCACAGTGATGGTCACTCAGACCTCACAGTGATGGACACCCACAGTGATGGACACCCGTACCCCACAGTGATGGACACCTACACCCCACAGTGATGGACACCTCACACCTCACAGTGTGGATACCCACAGTGATGGTCACTCAGACATCACAGTGATGGACACCCACAGTGATGGACACCCACAGTGATGGACACCCGTACCCCCACAGTGATGGACACCTACACCCCACAGTGATGGACACCTTACACCTCACAGTGTGGATACCCACAGTGACGGTCACTCAGACATCACAGTGATGGACACCCACAGTGATGGACACACACAGTGATGGACACCCACACCCCACAGTGATGAACACCTACACCCCACAGTGATGGACACCCACAGTGATGAACACCCACAGTGATGGACACCCGTACCCCACAGTGATGGACACCTACACCCCACAGTGATGGACACCTCACACCTCACAGTGTGGATACCCACAGTGATGGACACCTACACCCCACAGTGATGGA